GACATATCAAATTTGATATTTCTGTTAGACACCCAAGTTAAAGGCATCTATTAGACATCCATGTCAAATAAGCATTTCTGGAGTTTAGGGAAGAAGCCTGCATTTGAGATGCAAATGTGGAAGTCCATGATCACCATATAGACTGTATTTAGGGTCATAGTATGAATGAAGTCACCAAGGGCATGAGTGTACCTATGAAGGTAAGAGGTTAATGACCCTCTATTCTGAGTAGGAAGTAGGATGAAACTGTGGGAGTGAGGTTGAGATAAAGACAACTTAATGAAAATCTCCTGGACTTAATGAAAGTCAGATAGACCTCGGTGCCAATCTCAGCTCAGTAGTTTAACTAGGTAAGGTAACCTTGTGGGGTTGTGTGTACATTTCATCATACATACCAGGCCTGATAGGAGGCCTGGGAAAGTTTTGAAACATTCATACTGAGGAATGGAAGAATGACCTTGGTAGGGATGAGTTAAAGAATCCTAAGAAGATTCAGCTGAGATTAGAGAGGGCATTATAATGGTGCTAGACAGTATGTTTGTGATTTTATTCCCCTTGAGATGTGGAATATATCAATAAAAGTGAGAAAGTAGAGATTGATGTATTCCAATACTGGGAATTGGAAGAGGCAGAAGGAAAGAAGGGAATGTAGTGAAGGGCAATATAGACAAGCAGCATGTTCTACAATTCAAGAAGCACTAGGTGCTGAAGATTGTGTCATGCCTGAAGTCAAAGAAGTTCATGTAGCCCTCCATCCAAGTAACATTGGTTTGGCCAAAAAGTTTGTTTGGGTTTTTCGGTAACATCATATGAAAAACCCAAGCAGACTTTTTGGCCAGCCCGATATTTGGAACAAGAGCATCAAGGATAAAGTATTAGGGCTTCCCTGGTGGCACAGCGGTTGAGAGTCCGCCTGCCGATGCAGGGGACATGGGTTCGTGCCCCGGTCCGGGAAGATCCCACAAGCCGCGGAGTGGCTGGGCCTGTGACCCATGGCCATTGAGCCTGCACGTCTGGAGCCTGTGCTTCGCAACGGGAGAGGCCACAGCAGTGAGAGGCCCGCGTACCGCAAAAAAAAAAAAAAAAAAAAAAAAAAAAAAATTAAGTATCAAATAACAACATTTGATAAAGGTGATATAATATTCATAGACAACAGGGAACAATTGTGCTTTCATTTTTTCCATCAAGATGAAAAAGATCTTCAAAAAAGATAATAGCAATAGAAATGAAGGAACGGTGAGGAGAAAGTGTGAGAGCTGGAGAGTGGAAGTATTAGAAGTCTGCATCTGGGCCATTGCTCAAGTTTTCCAAAGAGGGGGAAGTTACAACCCCAGAATTTAGAGCTTGATAAGTATGACATCTTTGCTACGGAAGAAAAAAGTATAGATTGCTGACATATGGCTTGTCAAAACAGAACAAGTAAATAATGATCACTTGTAGTCACTGTGGTTTAATTAAGAATAAAGGTGCCAAGGTAAAAACTTCTCCCCTCTTCTCTCTGCTTCCCCACCTGCTACATCTCCTCCACTGAGTGTCATTTATAGCTCTGGATTTTAAAAAAAAATGCTTTAGATATGATGTATCTTGAGTTCAACCAGCTTCTGATAAAAGTCAGTCATTATAGTCTTGTCAAAATGGAGAAAATAATGTGAACAGAGTTAAAGTACCTAGTTAAGTTGCTACCAGGCTTTTTGAAGATGGGAGACAGTGTGGTGAAGTGGAAACGACCATTGATGTTGGACTTAGATGGGATCAATATTGACCTTTTCACCTGCAACTTGAGCAGTTTAACTTTTATGGACCTTGATTGCCTCATATAAAATGGGAATAGTCAAACCAAACCTGCTCAGTTACTACAAAGATTAAAGGAGATGACACCCTTGGTCCTCAGTAATAGAGATGTTCTTTTCTTCTGTTTCTCTGCCATCATTTACTCCTTGTGCCCCCTCCAAAAACAACCCCTAATTACCACAACACAATAAGTGTGGCAAATGAAAGGAGAATTTTAAACTCTGTGTAGTAGAGGGCAGTGATAAATTAGAGACAGTTGAGAAAATAAATATGAGGAAGACTGTTCTGCCTCGTGTTTGCAAGAAATAAAATTCCATTCTCTGTAAACTTCTTTCTATGAAAGAAATTAGATTTTTAAATTCATTGTTTAGTATTTTACCATGGATGAATATACATGAAACTATATTTCAAGAGCTTTTTCATGAAAACATTATACTTACATTATATACCAAAGCACTCTTTATTTGTAATCATGATCAACAAATGGATTTTTTAAAAAGCATCATATTGTTTTAGCCACTAAGCTTTATCACTGTTATTTATAACTTTTTGTTTTGACATATTGCTTTTAACTGTAATTAAAAATTATTGACATCTGTGTTTACTTTTTAGCTTGTGCATACCTTATCTTCATAGCAGAAACTAATTAGTATGTGAAATATTGTACCATTAAATTTGCATTAAGGGGGAAATTCTAATTTGATCAGATGTAAAAATATGGTAGGAAATACATTTTAATACATGAAAGATATGTACATGGTATTAATTCTGGTTTCATTCTTACAACAAAGAAATATTGTTTTTAGCTTTTGCCTACCTACATCTTTACTTGGCTCCTTTAATGTGATTAGGCAGATCATAGAATTTAGAAAAAATGTAGTCGTTCATGAAACTTACGAAGTGATTTAGAAAAACAACTGTTACATATAATGAGTTTGTTTCAAAAAAATAGAATGAAATATCTGCCAGAAATATTTTCTGAAGTACTAGAATATCTTTTCTGGTTTCATACTTACCTTTCCTTAAGTCTTTTCCTAGTTTACTGCCTCAAATCCCTTAAAATCCTGAAGTATAATAGGTAAATGTTATGTCTTCTGTGAATCTCTTTATGACTGCATATAAAGAAATATTTCTTCTGCTTTACCCTCTTGTTGGAAGCATATAGCTGTTATTTTACTATTAATTTTATATCTCAAAAATACTTCAAACATTTTTTCTTGTTCCTGCTGTTCCTGTCATCCAAGCCATCCTCATTTCACTATTGTACTGCAGTTGTCTCCTGATTGATCCCTCCTGTTTTTGCTGTCCTTCTCAGAGGAGGCTGAGCAAACTTAAAAACAGAAATCAGCTGTGGGCCTCTGATCCTCCATCTCTTACACCATCACATTACCCAACCTATGATCTTCCAGTAGCATTGATTTTCCTTCATTATCCCATTTACTATATAGTAGATACCGCAATTTTCCCTTAAGAAAATCAGATCACTTATCAGAATTTGTAATTATTTCTTAAATTCGATATTTACCAATTTGTTATGTCTTCTCCACTAGCATGTGAACTCCATGAGCAAAAGAATCATATCTTTTTTTTAAACCACTTTATACTTGCACTGTCTTAACATTAAGTAAATGCATATCGAGGATTTGGTTTTTTGGAATGAAAGCTCCATGAGGGCAGGACTTTGGTCTGTGTTGTTCAGTTGCCCTGTCTTCAATGGGTAGAACAATACCCAGAATATATTTGTTTCATATCTATTGAAAGAATAAATGATTGAATGAGTGAAGTCCCACACATTTGACATCTTGGAATTCATTCCTATGATAAACAGCTAAGTTCAACAAACATTTAATAAGTACCTACTGTATGCTAATCATTATGCTAGGCACTGTGGGCACAGAAATTAGTTATGGTGTCATTTCTGCTTATTTTGTTTTAAGATGTTTGGTATTACTTTAATTAATTTAGAAGTTATAGTATGATATGACAGGGACTTTCATACTGTTTGAGCACTTAAGCCTGGTTCTTATTAAACAAATAAGACTGGAATGCTTTCTTACCCATACTTTATTTCACTGGTTTTAAATACTATGTCATTACACTTTACTTTCTGTTCAGATAGAATTGGTCTCTCCCTCTTGGAATGGCTTTTGGATTTTAGCATCTTTGATCAGTCTATTGCTCATTTATCTGCTAAGTCTAACTAAGGTCAGATGCTTTTATAAAAATAATAAATATAATGCAGTGTCCTTATGTTCCCTTGTCTTACTTATAACCTAACTGTGATTTGCCAGCAATATTAAGAAATTGATCCAGTAAGGGCCTTGTTCAGGATCTTGGCAGCAGCAGAGACCAGAGATGCTGTGTTAGTTTCAGCAGTTGTCTTCCTTTCCTTTCATTCTTTAAGATAGTGTTATTTTTAAAATATGAAACATTTTTCCAGTTCTCCATATGTTGAGGAAATCTTTCCTAGTTCACTTTTGATGTCAAGATGAAATTTATGTACAAGATTGGGGAAATACACTCTTAGTGTATTTTTGGTTTGAAATATATGCAGATTTAAAAAGTGTCACCTAGAATAGGCTGTGACCTTTTTTTCAAAAAAAAAAAGAAGCATGCTAAAAAAGCCACAAGCAAAAATATACAGCTTTTATACTCTGTTTTTATTTCTAAAATGTATAATTTAGAATTAAATCTTTTTTTTTTTTTTTAAGAATTAAATCTTATACAGGTACTGTGTCCCCCTTTTCAATAACTGATTTTTCTTTTAGGTAGAAGACTTGCAACAAATTCTATGATCTTTAATGAAATATATCCTTTAAATCCCCCTGAATACAATGTAATACAGACATGGAAATATTAACTACTCCATGCCTAGCTTTTAACTTATAAGGCATTCTCTTCAAGGGGAAAGGCTTACTATTTCATTTTCTGTGTCCCTGATAATTTTTGCTGATTATTATATCATTATTGCTATACTTTAAGTATGGCTGAATTTATATGAGTTTATACATTATAGCCATCTGACTTAAATCACTAATTTGATTTTTTTTTTTTTTTGGTGGAAGAGAAGCTTAGCAATAAAGGGAGCATGTGTTTTAAAATCTTTTTCTGTGTCTGTGTTTACCTCTTCTGGTCTTAAAGAAATAGCAAAATTTTTATATTATTTGTGCTCAGAACATATATTAAAGGTTTGCCTTTTTCTTTTGTAGGATGAAGTGGCACACACTTTAACTGAAAGCAGAGTATTAAAGAACACTAGACATCCCTTTTTAACAGTAAGTGCTTAGAGGAAAGATGTTATACTCATAACATTTTATATTTAAGGGAGTTTTATTATAGCATCTAAGCTATGAAAAATAACATTTTAAATAACATTTATTTAGGTATGACATTTTCTTTGTAGATAAGTCAGTTTGGGGGAAATTATTAGAATGTATGGATTAAGTTTACAATATGCATGCATTTGTAGTCCTCTTATTATATACCCATGAGTTTTTTGAGATTTTTTTTCTTCCCATAACTTCCACTGCCTTAAAAAAATAGAGCAAATACATTTAAAAATAAATTTAAAGATAGCATTTAAGTTAAAAATAGAATAAGTCATAGTACATTTTCTTCATTAGATAAAGTATAAACTGTGACTTAAATACATATAACTTAGTTATTTTGAAACAGACTGATTTTTTTTTTTAGTCCCATTTAGATTGCTTGTAATAGAGGCATAATTTGCAAAGTTTCTGTATGTTCCTGGTTCCAATGAAGTGTATTAAGATTAAAAATCACAGACTTTCAGGGCTTCCCTCGTGGCGCAGTGGTTGAGAGTCCGCCTGCCGATACAGAGGACACGGGTTCGTGCCCTGGTCCGGGAAGATCCCACATGCCGCAAAGCGGCTAGGCCCGTGAGCCATGGCCGCTGAGCCTGCACATCCGGAGCCTGTGCTCCGCAACGGAGAGACCACAACAGTGATGAGGCCCGTGTACCGCAAAAAAAATTAAAAAATAACAGACTTTCATAAAGGAGAAACTTTTAAAGATTTAGGATTATTCAGTAGGTTTTTTCAGAGGTATCACCAGATACATAGACTTACTTTGTTACATTGTTGTGTGTTTATTTTTCAGTGTATTAAGATAGTTGGCTCTAAAGTTTTAATATCTTTATAATCTATAAGATTATCTGAAACAACTCTATTGGATTGGGTCATGTAATGCGACCTCTATGCAAGAAGTGATACTGAAACTATATTAGAAACCCAAGTATAACTACTATAACTGTACTCCTAAGACTTTCCCTGAAGTAATTTGTAGGCCTTACTTTTAAGGTCTCATGGATAAGAACTTTAGGGACCAATACAGTTTCAAGTAGATGACATAGTAGATTGAGAAGTGCTCATAACAATTACTAAGTTTATTTTTACTAAAAATCATAATTCTAATTTTCCCCAAATAATACTCATTGCTGATCTTCACAAAATTTGTTTTATATTTCTCATAAACTTTTACTTAAGCATTCTTAAGGGAATAAGTACACTCTTAAGGAGCAAAAACAATTCATTTTATCAATCATGCTTACTGTTTCTAAGTATTCTCTTTTTGATACCGTTGTAAGAATGTAGGATTATAATATAACATTTTTTCTTTTTCATTTCAAGTCCTTGAAATATTCCTTCCAGACAAAAGACCGTTTGTGTTTTGTGATGGAATATGTTAATGGGGGAGAGGTGAGTCAAGAAGTATAACCAGCACTTGCATTTGCATGGTAGTATTGTTATTTTTAAAAACTTATTTACAATACAAGTTATAATGTAATAGTTCTCTACTTCTTGATAGGGATTTGTATAGCTCTTTCTACTATTTTAGTAAATGGGAGCTGAATAATTTTCTAATGAAATATAAGGATCATTTATTTTTTACAATGACTTCTATGTATAGGAACGTTTAATCATACTCTTTTTTGTAAATTTTTTAAATGCAAAAAAATTTTACTACAGATATGAAAATCATGGTTTTTAATTTTGAAAACCAGAAATAGAGGGTTTATGATGCTTTACATAGTTCTTCCTAAAGATTTGTGAAACTTACGAAAAATTATTTTGTGCATTTTAAACTCAGTTTAACAATAGGCCATAGGCACATTGTGGTTGAGTTCTGTCTTCTTCTACATAGTAGTTAGAGTAACTTTGACTGTATGTAAGGGATTTTTAAGGAATTTTGTAGTTTTGAAGGGAAATTCAATCATTTTAGTAGTATATTTCACCTATTGCTTTATTCTTTATCCTTTCTCCTCCCTATATTTGATCAAAGTCAGTGTGAGGGGAAAATGTAATTAACTGCACTAGTTAACTGGAAATATTTCACATTGTGAGTGTTCTGAAATAAGTTTAATTATTAAATAAGGGCTTGTATCTCACAGACCTTAAAATAGTCTTATTGTCTGAAAGGAGGGAAGGAAGAGAGGGAAGGAGGAATGGAAGAAAAGAGAGGTGGGAGGGAGGGAGGAAAAGAAAGAAAC